TTGGTTGAACTCTGTATTATCATCATTAGTTCTCAAGCTCTGTCCTCACTCGATCGGTTGAACTCTGTATTATTATAATAGCTAAGGTATCGCACATCAGATAAAAGACAAAACGAATATATATTCGTACAGAGCAAGTACAGAGAGTATCAGAATAGTATGTTATATACCTATGGAGCCTCAACCATCACAACGTCATCGTCATCGCCCTCTGAATCAATGCCAACGCATACAGCAGCGGAGGATTAGTTTCTACATCGATGAGACCAGCCTGGTGCATCTCGACGACCTGTCGCCGAGTGCATGCGGGTTTGAGCTTGAAGGTCGTCGTGACCTTGTCCCAGAGTCCATCCTTCGTGTCTGGGATTGCTCGGATGTTGGACTTCCAATCGTCATCGGCCATGCTCCATCGCGTCCTTGCATCGCGTAGAGTCTCGCGAATATACCGTATGTCGGGACCGAATAGAGCCTGAAAGCGGTCGGCGGGCTTGATATGAGTGAAGCGGGTGTCGTCAAAAATCTTGATGGCGGCTTCGACGTCCTTCGCATTCCAGCCAGATGGGAATGGTTTGTTAGTTACGATTTTCGACGGCTTGAACCTAGGAATCTCGGAGACGTCACTGTGGGCCTGTATAGACGTGTTCGCCGTGCTAGCGCCCGACTGAGATGACGAGGAGCGAGATGATGAGGAACTTGACGCGTCGGAGAGCGATGGATCAAGGGAGGAGGGCTGGGCACACCCGGGTGGCTGAGGACCGCCCTGCAGAGCAAGATAGGCCATCTGCTGCGTCCGGTTTGGCGACAGTGCAAAGGGTGATACGGTACGCTGACGCTTGCTAGGGCGAGCAGCTTCCGAGGACGAAGGAGGCGAGTTGAGAGATGAAACCGAGGACTGGCTGGGTGAGGAAGACATGGGCTCGGGAGTCGGCGATCTAGTACGCTTGACACGAGCTGGCTGCTTCAGCTTTGCGCGGATTTTTGAGCGGTCGGCGGAGAGGCCATGCCTGTAGGAAGGCGCCGTGTAATCCTTCACA